CACATCTGAGTATTGAAAGACTGAGCAATCACGATAGGTTTCTGCTTCAGAGAAAAGCATCTTTTCCCTTCTACTACTTATGTCATTATCCAAGTTATGAAGCAACCAGTTGTGAAAATCATATTCCTATAGATTAATATTCACCTTATTTTGGAGGAATATCCTTTGTGGGTGATTGCTCACTAATGAAACAAGATGTGCCCAATCTTTCCCTCAGTTTAGAGAAAAAAATTATTGCTGCTGGCAGTAATTTTAAACAATCAGAAGTGCATTTTTACTGTCAAATGGCGGTGTCTTTCCAATGCTACATATGGTTCTTCTGAAAGTTATATAAGAATGTATTTGATGTAGAAATATTGTGGAACAGCAGAGATCACCAACAGTTATAATTCTGACTTTAAGTTAGCAAACATGGTAGTTTTGAAAAAGATAATCCATTCTCTAGTTTGAATTTTGAACTAAAGAATTTAGATCAAATGACTCCAAAGGATAATCATTTAAGACAGCTAAGTACCATTAATATATGTGTTTGCTGAATTTTACTAAAAAGGTGATTATTTTTGCATTGGTCTAAATCTTACCATCAGGGAAATGAAAGCAAAAACGAAAAGAAATCATATTGATCCTACTGAGAGGAGGAATAGATTTCAAACTGTTACATGGACGCGCACGGTTTTGGACTGCTAAGAGAAGAGTATATCAACACATTAATGAAACCTTTGACTGGCAGGCTTTGCTCAGTCTTCTGATTCAGAAAAGAAGATAAGGGGAAAAAACAAACAAACAAACAAACAAACAAACAAAAAACAACTTGTTTTTTCCCTAAGGTATCAGTGATTTTACAGCAGAGACCTTCTCAGACTGACTGAATTAATCTGCTACTGTTTTAGCATATTTCCAGTATAGAAATAATGTCTTTAATGCTGAGGATTCTGTAAAAGAGACTATGCCAATCAAATAGAGCATCTCTATAGTTTTTCACTCCTTGGTAGGAGAACCCATTCCAAGCTACAGTAGGTATCTCTGCCCAGAGATGACAATTTCTGCATGAATGATGACCAAATGTAGCCCAGATGGTATTGAAAAAAAAAAAAAAAGTATGGATGATGTGCATTAGCAAAGATATGGAGAATCTGGTCCTGAACATTTAGCTGGTGTAATCCCAGTTTGTGCTAAAGTTATATCTTACCAATGAGGACTCCAAAGAGCTATTTAAATGATAGAAGTCAAGGAACAATTAATTTAATGTAGAATTAGGACTAATATAGTGAGAAAGATAAAAAACATGAGATAAAACTTGTTAGATACTGCCATTGTAAAAACCTTACTGGCAGAATGACATTTGTATGCAATTATAGTGATTTACCAGTTTATAGATCTTATGCATTTTATCACAAAATGAATGAAACAAGCAACTCAGTCTTGTGCTGTCATCCATCCACAAAGTTTCCCATGGTCCAAACTAATGCACTAATTAATACTAATGCAATAATAAATACTAAAAATAAAAACTAATGCACCAATAAATACTTAATAACATTTTTTCTGCCCTCTATCTGCTTTGTGATGATATGTTTCAAGTAATTTGACACATTCAAATAACTCCCCTGAATTTCAGGTATTATTGTGGTTTTATATAAGTAATTACAATGAAAGGTTCTTGCATGCCCATATTGCAAACTGAGAAGGGACTGGACCAGATGACCTTCAGAAGCACCTTCTAAATTTAAAAGTACCTTCTAACCTTTAATTTCTTTACTATTTGAAGTCTCAAGTTCATATTCTGACACCCTTGAATCATGTTTTACAAATAGGAAAACTGGATATCAGCAGATTGGTTTGCACACATCTTGTTACAACACTAATGTGAGAAGTGGGAGTATCTCAGAATGAGATTTTGCATCAGTGTCTGAAACGCTAACTTTCAAAAAATGTACTATAATCTGCAAATAGGTAAACGGATGTGGTTTTGCTTACCTCTATTGGTAGACCTGAAAATGTCTAGCAGTCAAAAATAAAAATACATTTCAGTACATATTTAAGTGTAATCTGGGCATTATCTTTTTTTTTTTTTTTTTTTTTTTTTTTTTTTTTCTGGACATCAAAAGCACTTGCAATATTTAGGTCATATAATGAGAAAGACTGATCTGAAAGTCTTAAGGAGATGAAAAGGGCTTTATCCTTATATTTTCATCAGTATTAATGGCACTTGCACAACTAAAGCCCTGCACATCTGGATATAGATGCACCTCTGATTGCTCTTGCTGGTATTCAATTTTATAGACACAGACATTTATGCAACTGGATATCCATGTTGACTTATGATCCACTTGGAATTCAGTGGCCTTTTTCCCTAGTTGCATTGGCCTTGTTCCCTTCCCTCTCTTTCACACTAATCTCATAAAACATTTGCTGTGTTTTGAGATATAGAGTGCCAAAATGGCTTGGGATGGCAGATGAGCAAACAGATAGCTATTTCTTTCCTACAAATCATTACGAAAGGGAAATGCAAGTTTTAGTGCCTTCAAGCTGCTATTTAATAAGGTTGTTGTAGATTTGAGAAGTGTCCCAGACAAGCACAAGGTTTTCCATCTTCTGATTTCACACTGTGCAGTATACCAGACTCTACTAACTAGCTGCTTAGCTTTTGATGTTTTTTCAGCACCTTCATATTCACAGACTCATTGTCTCTGTGAAAGGAGGTATTTGATTTGTTTTTGTTTTTGTTTTTGTTTTTTCTTTTCCACTTAGAAAAACATTTCTTCTTGGAGAAGGCATGTTTAACTGGTTTTACAACAGGAGTATGGTGTAAAGGTTTTCTACATAAAGGTTTTGTTTATTTATTTATTTACTCTGCAGACTAAAAACATATAATCTAATGCCTTCTGTTTGCAATGACTCTGTTTAGAAGGATTTCCTTTCCTTCAGGAGGGAGAAGTCTGCTTCAGTTATGTTCCTTTGAATTGCAGGTAGATCTCTGAACCCCGGACAGCTGAATAAACACATTTCCCTCACTGATTTAATTATCCCGGTCCATTTGTTAGTACCAGCCGAATACTATATAGCACATTGCCTGTTAAAACTCAGCCTTTGATTGCCCGTAATACATTACAGGTTCAGTCTGTACAGCCAAAGACAGAAGGCTGGGTTGCCTATTGTTTGATCTGGAAAGCTGAAGCTCCAAGATGTTAATGCTGATGCAGGATGGGTTAGGTGATGCCTGGAGGCTGCAGTCAGTGGTACTTGGTACGAACATTGAGGGCATAAATCGATCTAGCTTCACTAGCAAGCTCAACTCAACGTAATGCAAGACTTGCTCTCTCATGCATGTTGTTAATTCCTACTTGCTAGTGTCTTATGCACAGTGCAATGCTGCTTCCAAGTTCTCTGTGCCTTCAGCACCTCCTAGGAAAAAGAGCTTTATATGAAGAGGTGCTGTGGCTCTTTTCTGTCAAGCTAGGTTCATAGGGAAGACAGAAACAAAAGCCTCTTTCCTTATTAAGCTGTATTTATGCAGTTGGCTTACAGCTTCCGAATGCTCAGCACAGGAAAGCCCTCTGGCCACCCATGCTGGGTAGGTCTGATCAGGATGCATCAGTATAGTGCTGTAGGTAGGAACATGCAAGACCTCGACTGAGAGAAGGTCTGTATTAGCAGAATGGTTCTCTTAGCATCTGGGACTACTTGTTCCTTTTCTATCACACTCATAAGCATGGTCTGCTATGTCTGTTTTCAATCACGTGTCAAGCATGAGCTCCAGACCCCATAAAATCTGCTTCTCTGCACTCTTTCCCACTTCTGTGCTGTACAGGAGAGACTGTAGAGATTCAGGCTGACACAGGAATATTAATGAAAATTTCTGCTTTTAACCTACTCATACCCAAACCCACTGTCTTGCTTAAAACATTTGTAATATCACTAAGAATTTCAATATCCAGCAGTGTTTAAACTTTGTCATAGAAGCAGGTTAGGAAAGGAGGGCACTAGCATATTATGCAAATAAATAAATTAAATAAAAACCTCACATTTGCCTAGCACCATTCAGCTTTGATTACCACCGACGTTCTCAAATGAAAATTTCTGTTGATGCCATATAGTAAATTAGATTCTATGTTTTCCTCAGGAAACTGGAGGCACAGATTTCAAGAAAGTAAAACATCCATTAAGGCTAGTCTACACATTTCTGATGCCTAACTTGCCCTTTTACCACACTAAGATGGTTGAATTTTACTAGATCTGTTGCCATACTGCTCAGTAGCAGAAGATTAAAATAAAATAAAATAAAATAAAATAAAATAAATAAAATAAAATAAAATAAAATAAAATAAAATAAAATAAAATAAATAAAATAAAATAAAATAAAATAAAATAAAATAAAATAAAATAAAAAGTGAAGAAAAAAAAAAGAAGTAGACTATTTTTATTCTCTGGGTTCTGCTTAGCAAAAGTGAAAACAAAAACACCGGCAAAAATTTATGCTGAACTTCCCAAATGAACAATAAGCTCAAGTTCATCAGAATGGAGAAAAGCTGTATGACAGTATGTTTGAATGAATCTAATTATTGGCCTTGTCAGTAGTGTGTTCCATCAAATTGTTCTCCCAAAGGAAACTAATGCAACAACACTGTGTACATACTAAGGGATATTTTGGTGGAGAGTTACATAACAATGACAAATAGATTTGTTTTATAAGAGGTCCAACCTGAGTCAGTGAGAGAAAAAATAGACATGCCAAAGGTAAGAAGCACTGAAGCTTCTTCAAATAGACAGTGTGATCTCAATTGTATTAAAAGGAAACTTTGCTAAAGTGAACTGTAACCTCAACTATTATGTGACATCTTTACTGTGAGTCTCCTTTTATAAAGCAGGCTACTTTTCAATGCTTTGTACAGTACTACTAAAACCAGAATTATATGTGTATTGTCCATGTCCAAAGAGGTTGCCTGTAAATTCATCTTTTTCAAGGCTTTGCATTTCTTTGTTTTTATTTGTTTTTACAGTTCCACCCAAAAGGGAGATGATGATTATGAAGATTATACTTCAAATAAGACTTGGGTTTTGACTCCCAAAGTTCATGAGAGTGATGTCACTCTTATTTTAAACGGCTTGCTAGAAGGATATGACAACAAGTTGAGACCTGACATAGGAGGTATGTTGGTTTTCTTTTTAGTCCAACTTTGAGTGGTGAAGAGAAAGCTTTTTCATACCATATTATATATACTACACAGGTAGCAGAATCCATTGAAAGTTGCTATGAAAACAAAGTAAGATGTAGTAAAACATCACTGGCACAAAAAGTACCCATGATTTTGGAACCTGACATAAATTGTTAAGGTTGCTAAATCTAGCCTAAGACACCTAACAAAACCATCATGATTTGCTGAATCAGGACACTTGTAACCTTGCAGGTTAACCCTGTCATACTTGGGGCCGTGACCACTGTCCTGGGGAGCCTGTCCCAGTGACTGACAACAATCTCGGTGCAGAACCTTTTCCTAACACTGAGCCTGACCCTCCCTGTCCCAGCTCCAATCTGTCCCCTTGGGTCTCTGCTCAGCAGGTCAAGAAGTGACTGGGAAATGAGACAGTGAGAAAGAAGGGTTCACAAAGGATAACTGCAATCAAGCAGATTGACTTGATTTCCATAGATTTCCCCCACAAATTATAAAAGTCTATACACCCAAGTTCAGACTCATAACAGAAGTCTTATTTAACTGGGGAAAAAAAAAAAAAAACAACAAAAACACAAAACAAACAAACAAAAACTTTTGCAAGGATATTCCTCTCTATTGATTACTGAGGGACCTGAGAGATGAGGGTTCCTGAGTAGATAGAAGGCCCTATGTGTGTACAGAACAGCAAGACAATACCTCTGTGGAAGAGGATACAGATGTAAGATTATAGGAAAACACAAAGAGAATTCACAGATGAAGCAGGCAGGCAGAGGAATGCATAGAACAGCAAGGTTAATGAAAGAAACTGTTTCTAACAAGTTTATAGAGGCTTATAAACCAAGGACATTTTATGATGAGTGAAAATGTGAATGTTTAACCTTCATCATATGCGAGTAGTCTAAAGAACAGAGGACTGTGCCTTACTCTTTGAATTCACGACATCAAAGAGCAGAGAAAAAGTAAGCATTTATAAAAAAACATCTAGGAAAAAAAAATGTTTTAGTCAGGGTATTTGAGAACAATAAAGCTACAGTAATTTCAAAATAAATTAATCTAGCAACTGTTTTTGTTCCTGCTTTAGAGCTGTGAGTATTAATATTACTTTGGGTTCATGAAATTGTTACTTATCTACAGGCATCTCTGCAGGCAACAGCAGTCACATTGCATTCAGCATTATAATGTTAAATGGGTGATGCAACAAATTGTAAGAGGAATAAATTTCCTTCCGTTGATAGTGTTTTGTCAGATGTGTTGCTGCGATTTGACACAAAATATACATATTCACTGAGATATGACTCACTAAAGTAATGACGCTAGTTTCAGTATTTGTTCTCATATCATAAGTAAATATGTTCTGATAGAATATATTGTATAAGAATTTGTCTCAAAGTGTGATCAACTAATTTCAAGCTGGAGAAATTTCTGTAAATTTATCTATTTATCTATTGGATATGCACATTTAAATGTGAGGCAACCATAGCCATATAACAGAGGTATTAAAACAATCTTTTTAATTTGTTTCATTCTCTTGCAGTTGGTTTTGACCTTCATTCATGGTAGTGATTTTTGTTGTTTCTCTTACAGTTAAACCAACAGTAATTCACACTGACATGTATGTAAATAGCATTGGGCCAGTGAATGCTATTAATATGGTAGGTAAATGATTGCCACATTTTCCTACAATGTTCAAGGTTGAATTTTTGGCATTACAAGGTTTCCATTAATTTTAATGTTGTGTTATACCTATATTATTTAAAAGCTCATTGTTACTATAGATGTAAGGACTGCATGAACTATGAGTCTATATGAAACAGCAAAACTGAGCTGTGAATAATAACAGTTTTAACATCTCTTTGCACATCCATGTGCTGTATTCTGCAGTGCTTTCTGATAGTTTAGCTCTTACAGGACTGACCTTCCAAATTGCTACAAATCAAGCAAAGGCATTCACCGGTGATATTCCTACTCCTGCCACCAAGAGATAAAAGGAAAAAGCTCAGATCCTAAAAGCAAAGTTCCATAAAGAAAACTTTAATTCTATCTTCATATAGCTGACGGAAAGTGATTTAGCCTTAGCACCACAATGTGTTCTTCATTCTAATAGTTTTCAAGTGTAGCAAGAAATTTTACATCGCTCTTTTTCATTCTACAATTTCTTTTGCTGTTTCTGGCTGCTGACTGGCTACCAGGGAAAGTAAGACTACAGCACTTCTGACATTAACTGGGGAGGGTCACAGGCAACTGGGTTAGCCAAATCACTTCAAATCTTACCTGTCCTAGATCCAAGGGAATAAGTAAATTGTTCTCTAACCTGATCAGGTGTGGGTTAAGGTGTGGGGACACGGAATCAGAAAGGTAAATACAAATATGACTCTATTTTATTTTAGGTCAACCTGTCAGCAGGAAAACAATGAAACAAAAACAAACAAAAAATGATCTTGTTTTGTTTTGTTTAACAACAGTCTTTGGTAAAGCATCTCCTCAAAAAATCACACACACACACAAAAAAAAGTTTTTATCAGTTCTAGTATCTTCTCTATTTCACATCTGTTTGTTTGTTTTCTTATGAAGTTAAGGAAAGCATATCAGGAGTAATGTGAAATGCTGAGTGCTATGTTTTCATCAGTATTTCTGGTTAACACAACAGGAATATACAATTGATATATTTTTCGCCCAAACGTGGTATGACAGACGTCTGAAGTTCAACAGCACTATAAAAGTGCTCAGATTAAACAGCAACATGGTTGGGAAGATCTGGATACCGGATACATTTTTCCGAAATTCCAAGAAAGCTGATGCTCATTGGATAACAACTCCTAATAGGATGCTCAGGATCTGGAATGACGGCAGAGTGTTGTACACACTGAGGTATTTACATCTGACTTTAATTTCAACTTCTCAAGGGAAAACCAAAGAAAAGGCTCCTGTGAATTAAAGTCACTTGACCTTAATCCAAAGGAAAAAACAGTGTTGTTTCCTGTTACTTATGTGGACAACCCTGAAAAAGGAAAAAAAGTTTTTTGTTTTATTTATTTATTTATTTATTTTTTAATGCGATATATTTGATATTGATAAAGTAAAATGGTTTCATTTCTACCTATAGATTTTTCTGTCTTCCTTCACAAATAGTTACATTTCTATACTAAAAGAATATAAGCATGGTTATAGTAATTCATCTTCATTTTCATGTATGTACTATTGTTTACCAGTAGTTTGGTCCATACTGTCTTTTACCTCTTTATTAGGTTAAACTAAAAAATTCAAAATATCCTTGAATCAAATAGATGTTAGAAATGAGGTACTGCAAACACCAGAAGCCTCATATTCTGAATTGATTAGTGCTTAGCTAGATGAAGTTCTACCTGAGAAAATATTTCATTCCTCAAATATCTAATGAAAATAATGATTCTCTTTTTAAGATTGATTATTTATGACTTAGGTCAATACCTAACAAACTAAACTTGGTATGCTCATCTCCAGATTTCTCACTTGCCTGAATAGTTTTTCTTTTGAGACAGATTTTCCTTATAAGTCTTGTAAATAATTGTTATATGCATGCCTACATCTAAATATTGCATATGCAACATTTACTAATTTAAAAAACACATTCCCAATTATCATAATATATTTCCTAAATGTGGAAAGTCTAGGTGCATTTTTTTTTCTAATGTGGTGTAATATTTGGCTGTATGTAAAATGTAGATAAAGGAGGTGTCTGTTCAAGAGACCTTATAATTTAAAATAAAAGTACAGTCAAAATTATCAGGCTTAAGACCTTCTGAATTTTAAACTACGTTTTCAAATTGTTATGGATTTTCTGCTTTTGTTTTGCTGGGTGGCAAAAAAGAAAGTTTCAGGACAGTATATTCATTAGCATTTCAATTAATAGTTTTGAATCTTTCCTTAAGACAACCGTTTAATACTGTAAATGTTTGAATTACAAAAAGGAGTCTTATTTCATAGTTATTTTACATTCATTACACATTGCATCACCAGAAGATATAAGAGAGTGATTGGAATTGAAATCCAGTGCAAATCAAAGTCAGCCTGATAAAGAATATCCCAGGTTCACTTTTGAAATGTTAAATTGGACTTTGCTATACCAATATCTCTTTGGACTTGGAACCTTTTTCTTCAAACCACTGTTTCCCTCATTAGAAAGAGATATATTTGATAGATCTTAGAAACAGTTAGCCAATATTTATGTATGTTTAGTTGTCTAGATGAGTCACAGCAAGCACCAATTAGGATTCATCCAGAAATGAAATGTGATAGTACCATTGCAAATCTGCAATCCTGGCTGAAGAGAAGAGGGCTCCAGGACTGATGGCTGATTTTTTATTGGCTCCCCCAAGCTCAAGAGCAGTCCATTCTGACCAGCAGGAAATTAAGCAAGGAGGTCTCACATGTCAACTCAAAGCTCCTGACAAAATTCAAATGTGGAAAGAAAATGTAAAATAGGCAGAAGCTGGAACAGGTGACCCAGAACACTGTCCAAGCTCTCAGAGACAGAGTTAGGAAAGTCAAAGTTCATCTGAAATTGAATCCAGCAAGGGACATAAGAACATAAAGAAGAGTTTCTTCACATACATCCGCAACAAATGGAAGACTAGGAAAAATGTGGGTGACTGCCAAATGGGAATGGAGACCTGGTCTCAAGGGACACAGAAAAGGCAAGGAGTATCACACAGAATCACAGAATCATCTAGGTTGGAAGAGACCTTCAAGATCACCTAATCCTACCTCTGACCTAACGCTAACAAGTCCTCCACTAAACCATATCACTAAGCTCTACATCTATACATCTTTTAAAGACCTCCAGGGATGGTGACTCAACCACTTCCCTGGGCAGCCCATTCCAATGCCTAACAACCCTTTCAGTAAAGAAGTTCTTCCTAACATCCAACCTAAACCTCCCGTGGTGAAACTTTAGCCCAGGGAGGAAGGGAGGAAGGGGGGAAGGAAGGGGAGAAGGAAGGGAGGAAGGAAGAAGGGAATGGGAGAGGGGAAAGAAAGGGGGAAAGGAAGGGGGAAAGAAAGGGGAAAAGGGAGGGGGAAAGGGAGGAAAGAAGGAAGGTGGGAAGGAAGGGGGGAAAGGAGGAAGGGAAGAAGGGAGGAAGGGATGAAAGGAGGAAGGGAGGAAGGGAGGAAGGAAAGAAGGTCACTCCTGAGTCTCCTTTTCTCCAAGCTGAACAAGCCCAGCTCCCTCAGATGCTCCTCGTAAGACTTGTTCTCCAGACCTCTCACCAGCTTCGTCGCCCTTCTCTGGACTCGCTCGAGCACCTCCATGTCCTTCTTGTAGCAAGAGGCCCAAAACTGAACACAGTACTTAAGGTGTAGCCTCAGCAGAGCTGAGTACATGGGGACGATCACCTCCCTAGCCCTGCTGGCCACACTGCTTCTTATGCAAGCCAGGATGCTGTTGGCCTTCTTGGCCACCTCAGCACACTGCTGGCTCATATTCAGCTGACTATCAACCATCACTCCCAGGTCCTTCTCTGCCAGGCAGCTTTCTAACCACTCATCTCCCAGTCTGTAGCTCTGCTTGGAGTTATTGTGCCCCGGGTGCAGGACCCGGCACTTGGCCTTGTTGAACTTCATACAGTTGGCCTCAACCCATTGGTGCAGCCTATCCAGATCCTCATGCAGAACCTTCCTACCCTCGAGCAGATCGACACACACACCTAACTTGGTGTCATCTACAAACTTACCAAGGGTGCACTCGATCCCCTCATCCAGATCATCAATGAAGATACTAAAGAGGACCGGCCCCAGTTCCGAGCCCTGGGGAACGCCACTAGTGACCTGCCTCCAACTGGACTTGACTCCATTCACCACAACTCTTTGGGCCCAGCTATCCAGCCAGTTTCTAACCCAACGAAGCGTGTGCCAGTCCAAGCCATGAGCAGACAGTTTCTTGAGGAGAATGCTTTGGGAAACAGTGTCAAAAGCCTTGCTGAAATCAAGGTAGACCACATCCACAGCCTTTCCCTCATCTACCAAGCACATCACTTTGTCATAGAAGGAGATCAGGTTCGTCAAGCAGGCCCTGCCTTTCATAAACCCATGCTGACTGGGCCTGATCACCTGCTTGCCCTGTAAGTGCCGTGTGATGACACACAAGATAATCTGCTCCATGAGCTTCCCTGGGAATACAAGGTTGCCTTTGCCTTGCAGTCTTTACTGGTAAGACAAACCTCCAGCAATCCCAGGTTTCCAAGATGAGTGGGAAAGCCTGGAGCAAGGGAGGCATATCCTCAGTGGAGAAGAACCAGGCACAGGCTAAAATACCAGACAGCAAAGTGGATGGATAACTTCATGAGCTGCCAGGTGCAAAGGGTTGTGAGCACTGTCATGAAAGAAGGAAAGAAGCCACTAGAGGTGTAGTCCCCAGTTTGGTGCTGAGTCAATACTGTTTAACACCTTCGCGTCTTCATTAATTACCTGAACAATAGGACAGAGTGCATCCTCAGCAAGTCTGTAGGTAATACAAAACTGGGAGAAGTGTTTGGTATATCATAGGGTTGTGCTGACACTCAGAGGGACCACGACACACTGGAGAAATGGGCCAAGAAGGATCTCATGGACTTCAACATAGGAAAATGTAAAGCCCTGTATTGGGTGATGAATAACCCTATGCATTAGAACAGACTGGGTGCCAGCCAGCTGGAAAACACAAATGGAAATACAGGAAATTCTGGTTAAACATAAGAAGCTTTCTTACTGAGAAAGTGGACACACCATGAAACAGATTGCCTAGCGCGGTTGTGAGGTTGTGAAGTTTCCATGCTTGGCAATATTGAAAGCTTGGTGGTGCTTTGTCCTAGAGAATATCTACTCAATTCCACAAGAGAAAACAAAAGGAAAAAACAAACAAACAAACAAACAAACAGTAGCATAATCTGATTCCATCCCATTAACAATGCTAAATTTGTTTATCAGAGAAAAGACACTTAAAGGAAGAACTTTTTTTTTTTTTTTCCATATTATAATTTTCTTCAAATGAAACTGAAGATGATAGAAATGAGAAGAGAAAGAATGGACAATGTTCTTAGCACACAGAATTATCTCTCCTTTTGTGTCACAAACACATTATCCCTTAGTATCAAGAGAAATGAGTTTTGTTCCTAAATCCCTAATGTAGAAAAGTTTCCTTTTGACTATATTAACTTGTTGACTAGCAGCCACAGCATTCCTCTATAACACACATATCCACACACACACACACACACATCCACCCAGTGGGAGATTCAGGGAGACATCTGCATACAGCACTGACGTGCATGAACCAGGAAGCACACTCAGCTCACAGAGTTGCTCATTTGGACACCGAGGAACCAGGAGGAAAAAACAAAAACAACAAAAACACTACAAACAAACAAAAAAATATAGTTTTTATATGAACAAAAGGAGCAAATAAACATCACCTCTTCCCCTCCCCACCTCCTCCCTCCTGTCCACAGACTTTTCTTCTTATGGGTTATTTGCTTACAGCCCATGTATCATGCAGCTCATGTCAGGACTGGGATCCGTGTAAGCTAGAAGCAAGGAAGGGATTTGGTGAAAAATTGTGGAGCTTTTAGCAGGGCATACATCTAATCTAATTTTGGATTTCCAAAAGTACATGTATCTATGTGATGAATATCTATAGCACCTACATCACTTGAGTTATAATTGAGACTTTCATGATAGTCAGTGGAGAGAAAAACCTTCCTGGTGCATTCCTCTTCCAATTTAATTCAGATGTCTATTTTGGAATGCAGTGAAGTATATCCCCAGAGCACCTTTCTTTTCACTGGATGTAAAGATGGCTGAGATGGCTATCTTGGATGCAGATGTCTAAAATTGGACTCTTACACATCATTTCTGAAATAGTATATATATATATACATATATACATATATATATATATATATATGTAAAATACATTTCCCTAGTGCATTATGGCATGTTGTGACACAGAGACTTGTCACTGCTCAGGAGAAAACCTGTGTATCCACTCAAGGACTTGCCAGTCATGAGTAATTCTGCCATTTCAGATGCATAGGAACAGAACTTTTAATATCTCATTGTACTGTACAGTAGATGGTAAGGACCAAAATAACTAAAAAACAAACAAACAAACAAACAAACAAACAAAAAAACACACAATAACAACAGACCTGCTTATCAATAAGCATGTCTTCCTATATTTGGAATAGCCAAATTAATATATCCGTATCAATAATTTACTTTTGCTTTCTATATTCATTATATATATGCATATTTCATAGTCAGATTCCACCCTAGTAACCACCCTTGTTTTACTTGCCATGACATAGCTTTCAGTACAAACTTCTCAGGTGTGTTCTGTATAACCTTATCTCTTTCTCCTCAGGCTGACAATTGATGCCGAGTGTCAGCTACAGTTGCACAACTTCCCAATGGATGCCCATTCCTGCCCCCTGGAATTTTCAAGCTGTAAGTAACATGCTTAAAGATAACTCTTTCCTGACCCATGTTGAACTATTTATTAAAAAATTATATTTGTATACTTAGTGCCAGATAGGTTATATTCTTAGCTAGACATAATGTGATAGTTTTCAGTTTTATTTTGACATTATTTTGAAGTATATGGATCACATATGTTCACAAAAAATGTTATATAAAACACGTGTGACTTCTGGGACCCCTGTTATTAATATTTATGCTTATATCTTAGCATAAAAGTAGACATTTTTATTTCCAGCATCAAAGCCTTGTGGCCTGACACTTTCTTTTTGCACGTGGTTGCTCTACTATTGCAATGGTATGAGTTAAGAGTTTGGCTTTTTGCATTCATGTTGAATGAATTCTGTGTCCAGCTGAAGAGTTTTTGACTATAAATAAAGGGTGGGGCAAACAAGTGAAAAACTCATTTTTGAAAACTTTACCTCACATGCTATTTTAATTTATAATAACTAAAATGTGACATTAAGTAAAAGGCACTACTAAATAACTTGAGGGAAATAACACGCATATATATAATTTACTTGCAATATGCTTCTCCAGTTTTTTCCAGAAATAGAAAATAGTATTTTTACTCCCCAGAATACATTAAAATCCTAGCAATGACTATGAAACAAAGCATTCTGTATTTTCCTTCGCAATAAGATGGCTACCCAAGAGAAGAGATTATATACCAATGGAAGCGCAGCTCAGTGGAGGTGGGGGACACAAGGTCCTGGAGGCTTTACCAGTTCTCCTTTACGGGATTAAGAAATACAACTGAGGTAGTGAAGACCACATCAGGTAAGACAACTGATTTATTTATTATCACATTTATTTACAATTTACAATTGTAAATAATAATAATAGTTATAATAAAAATAATAAAATATAAATATAAAATATAATAAATAATAAAAGTACAATTTATTTACAATTATATTAAAAGAATTAGAAAGAAGGAAATCTCTGACTGTTTGGAACTTGGCATTAGCACTTCACAGAAAAGATATAGGGTTTAGTATTTCTGAAGAGAAACTCACAGAAAGAAAAGTTGTTGCCGATTGTCCATTCTTGCATTGTCCTCCAAGAAATGCTTAGAACTGGCAGAAGAAAGCTACTGCTGCAAGAGGTGAGTGAGCGAAGTACTTCCTAGCCTGCTTCGGCATAGAAAACAGCACAGCCTCCAAGTAATAATCTGATATTGGTTTGAATATTTTACGGTTCTGTTCCAAACTCCTAGAAGCAGAAAGTTAGGCTTGGACAGAAACGAAATTCAAAGTCCTATCCTCTTTACTACAGCAGCTCCAAGTGTATTTTTCTCCTTAAAACAGGGCACATTCAGCTCTCATTAAAGAGAACAGTCTTGCAAGCCAGAGTCTCAGATGATTTTCCTGCATATTTTTATCTCCTTGGAAACAAGTAATGGAATTTAAAATGATAAATGAGGAAGGACTTAGATTTTAATAAAAATGGCAATTTTAACCCTACTAGCTAAGCAGGAAAATACATTATTCTAGACATATATTGTTGTATTTGTCAGTGGAAAGGAAATCATTGAATATGAGAAAGGATGCAAAGAAGAATTACATATTAATATTCTTGTACATGCATGGTATCCCTTGTCTTTGATTTCTTACTTTAATGAAAGCAGTTTTTCTTTTCAGGTTTCTTTTGACTTTCACCTTATTTTATTGTTCTGGCAAATATATTGGTTTAAATTCAGACATTTGTGTTTATTTTGACTACAGAAATATCCCGATCTGTTAGAAAGAATAACACAATTATTTCTAAAAGGTCAACATCACTATTATATTCAAAAGGAGAGCGAGATAACACCAGAGCTGAGAGCAGCCTGCTGTGCATTATACTGGAATGCAAACAAATAGTTTGAGAATTAATTCAACTTCTACCTCCTGAATCACTGGATATTAAGCACCAATGACATGTTTGGTCTTAGGAGCAGGGAAAAAACAGAATGAAGTCTCCAAGCAGTAGCCACATTTGCCTTGTGACCCCTTCTGGCATTTTATCTGAAGGAAATATTTAGTCAACTATTCAAGAAAGCATTCGACCTTTCTCATTTTCCCAGGGAAATAAAAATACAGTTGCAAAAGAGGACAAGATAGCAGTGTGCATGGGAGCCATAGCTGCTAATAACTACCATTACACATGATATGGTGGAGCTGATCTCAAAGCAAAAATATAAACAGCAATGCATCACACCTCAGACTGCCCCTGCAGCAGGCACAGCGCAAAAGGCACCAGTAAACTAAAGCGTGGTCTAAGATCTCATCCTGCACTGGCTGATCACTAGATTTATGTCAGCCATAACTTGAGTTCTCCTTATTTGCTCCTTTTCTTATTTTTTATTTATTTATTTATTTATTTTTGTTTAAGCGATTCTCTGATAAACTTATTTTGGCCAGAAATACAAAGCAATAAAATCTTAACCTACTACAGGCTTCATATCCACATCTTACGGTGGTGAATCAAAAGCACTCTAATGTTCTCTTAATGTGAAGTGAGCACATACTGGGAAATAAGCAGAGAAGCACAGAAAGAAAAAAAGATAGTTTCCCATGCAAAGAAAGCCTTTTTTTTTTTTTTTTCAGGGAACAGCAATTCAAGCTTGTAGCACTACCATCATGTTGTACCAGTAATTTTCAATATGATGACATACACTATACCTTTTAGTTTGCTGAAACAAAAATAAGTGATTAGCAGTTAGCATGTCCTTTAAAGCGGAGTCCCTCTAGACATCCCTTAACCCCTAAGAAGAAGTGCTCATGAGAACTACTCAGTATCCTGACCTACTCTAAAGATCTGAGTACAAAAACTTGGAAAACAATCCTGTGTATGTTTCTTGTCCTGTGGTTATCTTAAATTTGATTTTCCTTGACTCTTTGGTTTATATGACTGCAGATATGCAAGAAAATTTGATCCAGGTGCAGAATCTAAATAATGAGAAAGTGAAGGGAATAAAACAAGAGATTGTCATGAATGTGGTCTACCTCCTACAAATATTGTGATAAAGCTGGCAGGGCCCAAAAACTGTTTGTTGCTTACCTAAATGCCTTATTGGCATGCTGGGAACTATATTAAGTACAATATTTCTATTTTTAGGTAAAAAAAAAATAAATTGGGCTGAGAAAATACCTAAAATTACTCTGACATATACAGAGCTGCCCAAAAAGAAAATAAAAATAATCCAAGCTATTAGATTTACTTGCAACCTATGTACAGCCTGATTACACAAGAGTTTGAATACCCAAATAGCCAAAATTAGTCACAAGGCTTTATGCAACTAATTGCAGTGCTGTGGATAATGGAGTTTAGGTACAAACTAATGACAGTCCCACTGGTGATGCTTTGGAAGAGATACGAGCTTAGGCACAGTGGAGGAGATTAAGGAGATGTCAGAAAGAGGACTGTACTGTAATTCCCTCAACTCTTCCACAGACTAAATTTAGATGACAACAGAACCCAGTGAAACCTGAACACAAGATGTTAGTGTATGAGACTGAACAGTTATAAAACAGGAGGAGCCTGGGGTAGTGTTAAGGTATTTGAAACTGGAGTCAACTTTCCATATCTATGTTTACTCCATTTTAAAAGAAACTCTTGATTCTCATTGTCTCCCAGTTACTAACACGTCCAAGTCCTTGAGGGCTATGCTGTCCCAATGACTGGAGCAGAGAAGAGAATCAGAAAGGATGGCTGAGACTTGGTCACTAAAAATTCCCTGCTATTCCGTTTCTGTCATGTCATAGCTGAATGTTCAAGATCTGGGCTGAGTTAAGGGCAGAGGGAAGCAAGAACCGATGAGTGTAAGCTCCTTAATATCTGATGAACTTGTTGAGGTGACATTTGTCTGCAGCTCTTCCTTTGCAACCAGTGCAGAAATATAAGACTAACTGAAAGGGCCAGATGTTGGAATTCAGCCCCCTATTAGTTAGAAAACCCTGATAACAACAGCAAAAAGGAGCTAGAATAAGACAAAGGTGGAAAAATAAGGCAAACTGGAAAAGACAAACTATTCTGTCTGTCTCTCTGAAGTGAGCCATTCAGAATCATCAGCTTGTTGCTCTCCACACGGAACATCCCAATGTGACTAATGTTCTGTGAAAGTCACAGACCAAGCAATAAGACATGACTTAGCTAATGGAATCTGCTGTCCATAATAAGAGAAGCCACTAAGAAAATGTAACTCTCAAATCACTGCTCCATGAACTTTTAATTGAAATTGTTAGATAGTCTCTACAATTAACAATATATTACCAGTATATATTTATTGTCTTTGCATTACTACCTATGTTGTGTAAACAGCAGTGATTAAGCTTAGATTCTCTGGAATAAAATGAATGTTAAAATATATTATTTGAGTTATGTAAAATATTACAGTTGACCTGACATAAACTGAGATGGCTTTAAGATTTATTGTATTATTGAATTGCATTCGTAATCATTGCTCAAATGATTAATATTTTGATAATATTTTCATATATTCATATTTTTCATAATATTTTCATATTATTCATAAATTGATCCATATCTTGGATCAATTACTCAGAAACTACCAATTGTCATGTGACCTTTTGGCTCACAGTGTAAGGTCCCGTTCCCTGAATGGTACTGAGATTCTTCAATAAAAAATGAACAAGTTAATGGGAAAGTCTTGGGGACAAAAAAAGTAGGTTTTTTTTTGTTTGTTTGTTTTTTCCAAAGTTTAGATGGATACATTCATGAGTAATCCTCACAAAGCAATCTGTTATGTACTTTACAAAATCCTACCTCAAACCTAATGCTGAGGCACCTAGCTGTTTTTCTTTTACATGTTCAGAGTTCGTGATATTGCCTTTGGTTATTTAAAGGTGTCTGATCTATTAGATATGTGTTCTACATGTTACAAATCTAAAACATAAGTGTGGCAGAGAATGGACAGTTAACACAGAAAACAAGTTGTATTATATAACAAGCAATAATAATAAAGATAAAAACAAAAATTACAGCTCTAACACAAGTTATCCTCAATATTCTCATCCCATCCTCAATATTTTCTTTTCGTATTGCACACCACATGTAATTCAAATTACACCACATGTAATTCAAATAATGATAGTTCTTGGCTTTGCTTTAAAAACTATCTTAAATTCAATTTCTGACCTTTCATATTCACCATGGATTAAAAACAGGGAAAAAATGTGGTTAGAAAACAGTGCAGCAAGTCCACCACTTTTCTTTACTTTGGATGTCAAAATGAAAATATTACAGAGTGTAGCCAAAATCACGTAAGAGAATAAAAATGTCTATAGCTTAGGAGGCACTTCAAGGAAGTTTTTCTACACAACTCTCTCACCTCTGATTTGACTAACAAGAAAGATAAGCTTTAATCTTTCTGATTATTACTGCAATGCAACAAGCGATGCAGAAGTACGAGATCTGTAATACAGAATGCACAAGTGAGTGTTATCAAACAGGGAGATGTAGCACTTTGTGAAAAAGATAAAATAGGAAAATTCAAAAATCTGAAATTTGTTACTTAAAATAAAGAGTGAAAGATGCTATTAAGGAAATAATAAAATGCACAAATATGAAAAAGTCAGGAGTTGCTGAAAGATAGAGTGAGAAAGAGCAAGAGAGAAAGAAAGTCCAAAAATACACCAGGATACAGAATGTGATACTGTTGCAAAAAACCTACTTTTTTTTCTGGGATTCATGGCCCCAAGTGCTGTATATAAATTTGAGTGAAATATCTGTTCTACTAGGTGAAAAACTGATGTGAAGTTGTTGTTCCTAATTCA